AAAATTAACAAGGAGGAGGAGGCTGGAGAGACAGCTCAGTGGTTCAGAGCACTGACTATTCTTGCAAAGGACCCGGATTCTATTCCCAGCACCCACATGACAGCTACAAACCGTCCTTAACTCCAGTTCCAGGGGAATCAGAAGCCCTCTTCTGACCTCTGTGGCATTGCACGACACAGGTGCACTCACATCCATGCAGGCAATACACTCGTACACATAAAATAAAAATAATAAATATTTTTTAAAAAATTAATAAGGAATAGAGGATGTTTGAGTGCGGAGAAGGTGTTGAATAGGTACTAACCCATGTTTAGGCTTTAATTTAGAAGGGATTTAAGGTTCCATCTTGGTTGTTTATGTATATATAAACTTTAGTGAGTTACAAAGAAGAAAGAATACTGAATTTCTCTATGGTAACAAGCACCCGACCAGGGGAAGGCATTTTTCTTAGAAAACATATGGAGTAATGGATAATAACATGAGATACTGTGCTTAGGCACGTAGCTCAGTGGTAGACCATTGCCTAGCTTTCTCAAGCCCCTGGGCTCAATTCCCAGCAATGAAAAGTAAAAATAAAACCAGCAGCCAGGCCTGGTGATACATCACTGTAATCCCAGCACTTGGAAGGTAGAAGCAGGAGGATCAGGAGTTCTAGATCAGACTCATCTACATAGTAAGCCCAAAGCCAGCCTGGACCACAGAAGACTCTGTCTCAAAAGAAACAAGCAAGCAAGCAAACAAACAACAAACTCTAAGCATTATGCCTCCATAAATGGTTGACAAGCAATTTATATCAATATTAGACCTGGACAGCAAGAGCAAAAGTTATAGCAAAGTGTGCCATCTAGTGGCCACTCAAAAAGTGTAACAACAGCAACACACATATTTATGTATATATATATAATCTAAAATCTACTAAGAGAAAACATATTTGCTATTTGTCTTTCTAGGTTTGATTTATTTTGCTTGATGAAACATCTAAAATTCCACCCATTTTCCTACAAATGAAATAATGTTATTCTCTTTATGGCTGAATAAAATTCTGTTGTGCACATACGCATTTTCTTTATGCTCTCATCTGTTGACGGACACAGGCTGATTGTATAACTTGGCTATTGTGAATGGTACTATAGTAAACATGGATGTACAGTTATGTCTGTGTTATACTGAATTAGAATCCTTTAGGCACATTCCCAAGAGTTGTACAGCTAGGTCATATGGTAGTTCTATTCTTAGTCTTTTGAGGGACTTCTGTTCTAGTTAGCTTTCTGTTGTTGTGATGAAACACTGACCAAAACCAACTTGTGAAGGGCAGGCTTTTTAACAAGTTGTAGTCCATAACTGAGGGAAGCCAAGGCAAGAACTCAAGGGAGGAACGGGGAGCCAGGAACTGAAGCAGAGACCACGGAGGAATGCTGCTTATTGACTTGCTTCCCCTGGCTTGCTCTACTTCTTTTCTTATACAGCCAGGCCTGCCTGCCCAGGGATGGCACCAACCACAGTAGGCTGGGTCCTTCTGCATCGATCGGCAATTAAGAAAATGCCTCACAGATATGCCCACAGGCCAGTCTGAAGGAGATAATGCCTCAGTTGAGGCCCCCTCTTTCCAGGTGACTTTAGTTTGTGTCAAGTTGACAAAACTAACCAGCACAAACCTCCATAATGATTTTCCTAGTGGCTGGACTAATTTACATTCCCATCAGCAGTGTATAACAGTCCCTTTCCCCACCTCCATCCTTGCCAGTATGTATTGTTTGTTTTTTCCTTTAACGATAGCCATTCTGACCAGAGTGAGATGGAATCTCAATGTAGTTTTGATTGACATTTCCCTTATGCTAAAGATGCTGAATATCTTTGTGTATGTCTATTGGTCATTTGTAACTCATCTTTTGAGAACTGTTTGTTCATTTCACACATGATTTATTAATTTCATTTTTAATATTTAATTTTTAAAGTTCTTTATGTACTCTAGATATTAGTACACTGTCAGCTAATATTGCTAGCAAAGATTTTTGTCCATTCTGCAAGCCGTCTCTTCATTTAATCTTTTTTTTTTTTTGCCAATGCCAAACACAGTTCTCACTTCAAAGGGAATAAGAGATAGTTTATTCTGAGCCGAATATGAGTGACCAAGGCCCAGGAACATGTACTTAGGTTGCCTTTAATAACATGTTCCATCATGAAAGTCATTATTCAAACTTTTATAGTCAAAGAACAAAGACAGCCATACATCAATGCGTTTTCCAGATAAGTTGGTGGGGACAGCAGGTAGGTGAGCTACAGCAAAGCAGAGAAAGCTCTGATGTGGGTTTCAGATGCTATCTGATAACATTCCTAACTTTGGAGCTGGTGGAAGCTAGCAGTCTACTGAAAACACATTCCAAAGTTTTCCCCTGATAATCGAAAGGTAAGTCAGTCAGATACAGAGATGGGCAATACATACTATTAAGGAGACTACAGATAGTCTGAGATGATTTTGACTCGATCTACAACATTGCAACTCTTCACAATTAGGAAGTTCTGATCGATCAGTCAGTTCACAGACTCTTCAGTATGGGTGTAGCATTTTGTTATGTTTTGTTTTCTCTGGGTCTGTACTCTGTAGTTACTGGGTGGAGTATTCTACAGATGATTGTTAAGTTCATTTGATCTATAGTGTCCTTTAACTCTGTTGTGTCATTGTTGCTTTTCAGTCTGGATGGTCTCTCTATTGGTGAGAGTGGGATATTAAAGTACACACTCTTATTGTGTTGAGGACAACTGTGCTTTTATATTTAGTAGTGTTTGTTTTATGAAATTGGATGCAACAATGTTTGGTGCCCATGTGCTTAGAATTATTATAGCATCTTGATGAACTGTTCCCTTAATCAATACAAAGTGGCTTTCTTTATCGCTTCTGAATAATTTTGTTTTGAAGTCTATTTTGTCAGCTATTAGTATCTGAATTCCATTGAAAAGAAAAAAACTTGGGGGCTGGAAAAATGGTTCAGCCAGTGGTTAAGAACACTGACTACTCTTACAGAGTACCTGGTTCAATTCCCAGCACCGACATGGTGGCTAGCAACTGTTTGTAACTCCAATTCCAAGGGATCCAATGACTTCTTCTGACCTCTGTGGGCATTGCATGACACAGGTGCATTCACACACATGCAGGCAATACAGTCATACACATAAAATAAAAATAATAAATAAAATATTTTAAAAAATAAAAAAGAAAAAAATAAAGGGTATTTCCCACAAGAGACTGAGAACTACTTTAAAATTTTAAAATAATCATACACTTACAGAAAAATTACAAAAATAATACAAAGATTCATACATTTCACTTAGATACCCAAATGTGACGGTGTTGCAGCTTGTTTGACTCATCCTTTCTCTCTCTCTCTCTCTCTCTCTCTCTCTCTCTCTCTCTCTCTCTCTCCCCACACACATGCACATACCATTGAATTTTGAGAGTAAACTAAAGATATGGTGACATAATGCTTTATTATTCCTAAATACCGTAATGTATATTTTCTTTTTTAAAAAATGTTTAAAAATGTTCCAGGCCAGCTAGGGCTACACAGTGAGTCTCTGTTTCAAACAAACAAACAAGTAAGCAAGCACAACAGCCACAAAACAAATAGAATCCATACAGGAAAAAAAAAAAGCCAAGAATCCATGAGCTCAAACTGATATGCGAAAGCTCTTTCTGAAAAGAGCACCAGCTAATAAATGCTGAAGAAATAACTGATTGAAAACAATCAGTATTTGATATTAGTAATAATTAGACAAAAATTATCAGTGAATGCTTTCATCCTGTAGATGAAAATGAGTAATAAGGGGGCTGGAGAGATGGCTCAGCGGTTAAGAACACTGACTGTTCTTGCAGAAGACCTGGGTTTGAATCCCAGCACCCACATGGCAGCTAACAACTGTTTGTAACTCCAGTTCTAGGGGATCCGACAGCCTCTTCTGTCCTCCTCGGGCATCGCATGACATGGGTGCACTTACCTACGTGCAGTCATAACACTCATATACATAAAATAAAAATAAATATATAAAATATAAAAAAGAAAATGGGTAATAAGATATTCACATACTGTCAAACTATTTCCCTAAAAAAATACACATTATTTTTAAAATCATTTTTATGTTGAAGATGCATAGCAGACACCATCTTAATAAGGAATCAAGGTTGACTTCAGCATTAAGGAGTCAACAATCTGTACCTCCTGATGTGATGCACTGTGAAGGACACATTACCTGTGAAACACACCTCTCCCAAATCCATCACTTGGATTCCATTATGAGGAAACATCAGATAAACCTAAAGTGAGGGACAATCTATGAAATGAGTGGTGTATACATTTCAAACCCTGCCTATAAAATGAGAAAACTTAGTGCTTCCCTATTTTAGGTGTGTGGGGCTGAGTATGGGGGCATTAAAGTGGTTGAGTGGAAGGCTATTTTTATTCAGCAGCCAGATCTTTTCAAATCTGCAATGTGATGAATCCCATTCTGTTAAGATGCTGGTGCCCATCAGGTGCCCTAGCTATGCAAGTGCCACGCCTACCTGCTACTCCCATGGTGATAGAATCAATGATTCCAGAAACCAGGAAGCTTTGCCTTCATTGAAAGGCGTTTGGCTTGGGTCTTGGAGTGCTCTAGAATTTAGAAGCGTAAACAGAGAACAAATAGAAGAAAGCACCACTCAATGCAGAACTCTCTCAGCTCTGGGGAGTAAGAACTAGGAAATTAAGCTGAGTCAGGTGAGGAAGGTGTGATTTTAGAACAACAATGCTACAGGACAATGACTGAGTGGAATGCAGTCACCTAGGTGACCTTGTAGCCACATCCTTCCCAGATGCATCTCTGGTTCCCTAGTGTCACCACCAGCCTCCCCAGGCAGCTCTAGGGGCAGATCTGAGGGTATATTTCTGGCCCCAGGGCAGTGTGCTTTCTTGTTTCTTCTGGGGAGATGGACCTGTGAGGACAGGGCTTCTTGGGTTGTTTCCTAGTGACCTATGGAATGACAAGCGCCAGTGCTTATTACTATACCAAAGTGATGTCTGAGCTCTTCCTCCATACCCTGTCAGACAATGGAGTCTCCTTCCAGACCATCAGCAGCATGGCAGACTTCTGGGATGTGAGTATGAGACCACCTCCACCCCTCCCTCTCCTTCTCAATGGTCTGAGACACAGGCCTCAAGGAGGTCAGATGATGCATCAGGCCAAATGCCCAGTGATCAGGTCAGTCTAGAATCAGGCTGAGTCAAAGAATCAAGCTGAATTAATAGATTAGGCTAGAGTTTCATGGAGGTGGGAGAGAGATCGGGATGTTGATCTGGTGGTTGACTAGCAGGAGCTAGATTAGCATTTGGAGTCAGAAGAGAAGCTGAATCTCAGAATATTTTAAACAGAATCATACTAGGTTCTGGTCAAATTCCAGTCAACTAAGGGTCCAACAGAAAAGATGGACATAAGCTGGGGTCAGGGCACGAGGGCAAAGGTCATACATAGGAATCAGGAGGAGGCTGGGCCAGGCCCAACCCAGCTGGTGGTCCAGTTTGCTCAGGGCCCACTCCTGGATAGTTTGTACTGGACGAAGTGGTACAACAACCAGAGCCTGGGCCATGGCTCCCACTCCTTCATCTACTATGAGAACCTGTTGCTGGGAGTCCCGAGGTTACGACAGCTGCGGGTACGCAATGACTCCTGCGTGGTACATGAGGACTTCCGGGAGGACATTTTGAGCTGCTACGATGTCTACTCGCCAGACAAAGAAGAACAACTCCCCTTTGGTCTCCTCAATGGCACAGCGTGAGTGAGTCCCTGCCAAGGGCCCAGGGCTACCCCCCTGAGCCTGATACTGATAGGTAGAGAGCTGGCGGGTGGGAGCGAGCGGGTGGGTGGCACGGATGGAGAGCACGAGCAGATGGATGAGGCACCGAGGCACAGATGGAATTCTCAGCAGGATACAGATTTATTTTGCATGGGGCACCTTTCCCTCAGGGGAGGGAAAGATGTCAGGGAAGGGAAGGGTGTCAGGGAAAGATGTCAGGGAAAGATGTCTGCCCATGGGTTGTGAGCTGGGACTTTATATATGGGGGCTTTAGGGTGTGGAAGGGGAGAATGTTTGGGGGAGAAATCAGGGAGGGGGAAGCAGGAAAAACCTGGCTCCGTTCAGTCTGCCAGGTGGGATTAGGGTCTGGAAGTGTTTACTTTTTCTCCCTTAAGATAAGAGAAAAGCTTGTTGTGATAAACAGCTTCTTTAAAAAT